CTTATTAATAATATTAATGTTAAAATATATATGAAAAAAAATTAGAAATCGGAAATCACTAATCATTAATCATAATCAATTATTTTAATGCAAAATTTATATATAGTAAATATATTAATAATTCCAAAAATCAGCCCAAATTAATTAATTATAAATTTTGAACCATCGATCATAACATCTATATAAGCATCCTTTTGTGACATAATTTGATCGTGTTTCCATTCTAAAGGACATCCTTCAGTATATAAGAAAAAGACCTCTTCATCAGCATCGATGACTTCGACAGAATTTTGTGGGATAGAAATCGGAGATAATAAAGATATATTATCATCGGCCATCGCAAGAAGGTGGAAAAAAAAAAAAACCTGAAATTTTTACACTCACGTACGTACGTATGTATAAATTTAGTGATCACATGTGCTACTAAGATATCGTGTGAAAAACGCAGCTGCATAAATATAATGCATAATAGTTATCAAATCGTAATTAAAAAAAACTTTCTATCTTTTGTTGTGTAAAATTAATGGGACACATGATGATGGCCACAGTCTCCGAACCAAGACAACAAAATGGACATAGCGATCCTCGAGCACAACTAGAGCAAACTATAGATCAGTTGCTTACTAAAATATGGGAAATCATGGTACAACTTAATGAATATGATTCAGAAAATAAATGGGCAGTGAGTCGCTCTTTGTACGTTTCATTCATACTTTCCTGATTGGCATTATATTTAGGTAGGTAAAAAAGGAATATTATTTATCACAATTTTAGGACTGATTTGGTTGCTTGTTTTGAAGAAGTGAACATACTTCAAGAAAAGATTCAGCACATAAAAGTTCCTATGAAAGTAATAGAGTATGTATATTTTGATTTAAAAACTTTTGAACTTTACAATAAGAGATCTATTTTTTATATGAAACACAGCTTATAAGATATTCCTTTTATAATAATTAGATTTATTGATGAGGGACGTAATCCTGATATCTTCATGGCAGATTATGTGGAAGAAGTTATGCAAGAGAATCAAGCGGTTAAAGTTAAAAATGAAGCAATACAAGTAATGACTTAATATTAAATTATTTGTATGTGATTCTCGTTATATGGATTTGGACTTTATTTTTCTAATTATAGTGGGAAATTTAACTAATCAGGGTTTTAGAGACATGCTCCTCGAACAATTAAAAGAAACTTTTCCTGAACAAACGAATGCTTGGATCCGGATATCTAATCGGATATCTGAATAGACATCCTATTTTATATTTCTTTATAAATAGATGTTTATTTAGTTATTCTAATCCAGTTTATATCCGGTTTTTATTAACATTTATTAGTTTATTTAATAAATGAATATACGTAATTGAACAAAACTGGTAGTTGATGTAGCCTGCATAGAAATTTAACAACATATTTTTAAGGAATAGCATGCTAAGTATATGCCAGACAACTTGAAAGATATTTTTTATCCTTATGCTGGACTAAGATCGCTTCTGCAAAAGTAAATTTAATCAGACAATTCATTTTTATTTTATTTTATTTTAATTTTTTTTTCTGCATGAATTTTATTTATTCAATAATATTACTTCTTTTACGAATAGTGATGAATGATAAAAATTATTTCATTATAGGCAATACGAAGACATATATGCATATTTAAATAAATTGTTATCAGTCGGGCCAAAATGTAATATAATTACACTAAGATGCCGAAAAGAATTTGAAATTTAATTAAATTTAGAAACGTGAGTATAATCCTCAAAAAGAATTAGTTTATATAATTGTATCATTTTTATGTACAGTCAAAAAAAAATTAAACCACAAAAATATTGTATGAAAACCTGATGTTTATATCAGGTAATAATAAAAGAAATTATATATATATAGCGCCTGACCCTAAATCTTATTCTAAATATGTGAAATAAGCTATGGAAAATAGAATATTGTTCTACGTTTGATTTTCTTTAAAATATCAACAGATTAATCGACTATATCGATTAAGAAAGATAATTTTCAATTGGTTGAAATATTATGTGGGTGCCGAAACACATTTTCTTGAGTAGAAAGATTTCGGGCTTAGAATATAGTTATCCAGATGCCAAAGTCCCCAAGTTTCCGAAACCTAAATCATAAATCTAAACTAATCCTAGATGCCTAGGTCCTGAACAAATTAAACTATATAACACAAAATCTTGAACTAGCATGATTACCTAGAGTTTGTATGGGATTAACTATCATTTCATTTTACGATATTGTTTTAATGATTATTACCGTATGTTACCGATTATAAGAAAAGATTTGAAGTCAAATTTAACGGTTATCATGTTTACTAATAAAACGAGCCCGAATATAAGTAATTTCATGACAATAAAGAGGTTGTCGGTTTAATTCCTTGGTCTCATTTCGAAATTCTCTAGCATTTGAAGGCTCTTTTTATGCAATTTCAAGGGTGGTTAAAAATAAAACCCCCAAGAATCTTGACCACGAAGGTGGCCTGATTTTTACTACTTGCTTGTAAGTGATGTATATTGTTTACCCAAAATAAAAAATGATGCACAGATTTCATTGGTAAATAATACATCACTTATAAGCTAGTAAAAATCGTAAAAAAAATTGGCCAACTTCGTGGTCAAGATTCTTGGGGGTTTTATTTTTAACCACCCTTAAAAAATTTCATAAAAAGAGCCTTCAAATGCTAGAGAATTTCGAAATGAGACCAAGGAATTAAACCGAAAACTTCTTTATTGTCAAATAAGTCTAAAAAGCAAAATTTGACCAAATTTTACTTATAAAATTTAGGTGCGTCAATCATTTGACCCCATATTAAAAAATTTACCCGTGACATGTTGATCA